CACCATTGCATCTAAAGATTTTTTCCTACAAACTCATAGTAGTAACTTGGAAGAGTCAGAAAGATGTCTTCTTCTAGGTTTTGAGATTTGTCCCTTTGTGTTTAATGTACCATAAAGCCCCAAGGCTGAGAAAGGGATTGTTTGTCCTTTACTTCATTCTTTTTCTTGACTGATTCCCCTTCCTTCAGGGTCTATAGAGCCATTGGTTGACTATTTACTAGGGCGACCTACACTTCACAAGAATCATTCAGCTTTTGGTTGGTCACTAAGTTCTGCTGATTTTCAGCCTTTTGAATCCATCTGCTTTTTTTCATTCCACTTTCACTGCCTCTTTGTTATATCAGCACTATTCATATATCAACCCCATTCATATATCAACCCCACCCTACTTTGTCTCTGGCTATTCTCTCCTGCCCTGGATTTCAAACTGAATGGGCAAAAGTGCATTTCCTAGACCCCCTGACCCACTGTTTCCTCCAGCTCCTCCATCTGGGAAGCTCTTACTTTTTTCTCCTCACTCTTCATGGTCAGCTCCCACATCACCAGAGAAACCTTTCCTGTTCCCAGCAGTAGCAGCAGCAGCAGCTTCTCCTCTGCCCACCATAGTGCTTTGGATATGCCTCAAGTCTGGCCCCTACTTCAATAGAGGAGGCGAATGGTCAAGCTGAAGCCATCTTGCCCGGTGTTGAAACTTAACTCCACCACTTACTAGTATTGGTATCTTGGGCAAGTCACTTCACCACCCTGCAACTCAACTTTCTCATCTGCAAAACAGGGAACATAATAGTATCTTCCTCAATGAGTTGCTGTGACGGTTAAATGTATTGAAGCATTTTAAGCTTTTTGAACACAGTAAGAGCCATAATAATGTTAACTATTACTTTATTTGCTATGTGTATATCTCTCACCCCGGTTTGACCCTTTACTCCTAGAAAGCCAGGTCTGTCTTATTTTCTCTGTGTCCCCAGTGCCCAGTACATAGTAGGTACTTGGTATATATTAGTTCCATAAATTGGCTTATTATTACTCTGCCAGTCACTCTTCTGTTCATTAACTGGTGAGCCAACAGAATGATTTAAAATGAGTTTGTATTCCCCAGGGTGGGCCAGCCTGCAGCAGGTTCCAGCCCCTGTGTCTAGATAGGCTTATAAATGCTGTGTATCTAGGTGAGTTGGCTGAGAAATTGGGTTCCTCTCAGTCTGCTTTCCTTATCTCTAGGCCCCGTTCCCTGTTTCTCAGACACACTGAATATGGGGTGTTTCTTGTTCTACTTTATCCAAAGGGGCTTTGTAATTCAATACTCTTGTCCGTGGTTGGAAATGTGTCCTTTTTCCATTGTGAAAGTTTTGTCTGCTTGGCATTCAGAATGGGAGAATATGCCAGGACTTTGGGATGCTATCACAGATGAATGAAAGAGAATGAAAGGGAAGTTTTAGAGAAGACTGAAGAGGGCACAAAATATCAAAAAGCCTGTCATTTTTTGAGTTCAGCCTCTCTGTGCTCTTTTCTAGTGATTCAACTCCCAATTTTTTCTGTCAAGAAATGATAGTATTTGCTGCTAAGGAAGTGGGTCTCATCATAAGTGCCTCAACTAAAGATGCTGATAAAGTTTGGAGAGGGTTTAGCAAAAAAGCAGCAAAGACAATTCAGAAGGCAGGATCCTGGAGAACGAGAATTCTAGGATCCAGGATGGGAGAAGGAGGTACAATTCAGTAGTTCATTAAAAGAAAATGAAGGGTTTTTATACAGATATCTGGAATTTTCTATCCACCTGTGTTTCAGCAGAGAAATTTAGGACAGTTTTTAGGCATTGTGGCTATTACTGTGGATAGAAGAAGATGACTGCTAAGACAGTTTTGTTATAGCTCCTGTTCCCTCTAGCCTAAACTGTGGTAACCCTCCATTACCAATGCTCACAGAGGGCCTGGAGTATATGAGATATGTTGAAAGGGAACACAGCGATCTTCCACACCACAGTACCACCCCTGTCCCTCTCCTTTCAGCCCTCTTCCCTGCTCTCTGTTCTGTAGATGCCAGAGGACTTCTGGTTGGGGCAGAAGTTCTCAATCTTTGATTCTTCTTTCAAAAAGAGTCAATCCGTCTTTTTGACTTTATTTTTTGCTTTTTACCTTTTCTATTCTAAATCTACCTTTCTACTGATTTCTCAGTCCTACTTGTCTCCCCATTTTCCTTCTTCCTCCCTCCCTTTTCTACTTTCTGGGGCTCCCCACTCTCCTCTTTCTTGTAGTTCCTTGTGACCTCAGCTTCCCAGTGTTGGCCTGGTAGGGAGGAGCTGTGGTATAAGCCAAGCTTGGCATCTGCCCAGTCTCACCAGACACAGCCCCTGGTGACTGTCAGATAGTTTTGGGGGAACTGACCTGGCTGGGACAATCTGGGGTTCTGGTTGCTTCAGCTGGCAAATTGCTTGGAGATCCTGACCCACCCTAGAAGCTGGATTGGCAAGGATCTTAGTTTTTGTTTTGCTTCACTGTGAGTTGACGTCTCACTCTGTAATATCATTTCTTCAACATTTACTGTGCATTATCACATGCCAATTTCCTGCTCTAGATATTGGGCAGGCAGAGATAGAAACAAAATCTAGCTACTATACAGATCTCACAAGCTGGTGAGCATTCTGCTGCTTTTCAAAGAACTATAACACAGCATAAACAGTATTATGTAACCATATGAAAAAGAACTGGGTAGATGGAGGAAAAATGGATTCATGGACCACCCTTCCTCTCAAACACTGACTCCACCTTGGGTGGATGCCATGATATAAATAAACATTGGCGATGCCAGTTTCTTTTGACCCCATCTGAGCCCACTTCCTTTCTCCTCAAGACAACATAACAAAGCAACAATCATCATTAGCATCTCTCTACTACAGTAATCACGTACATGTTTCTAACCCATCGTGGCTTTCAACAGCCACATTTTGACCACTTTTTATTGAAAGGCAGACCTAGCTTTTAGTCTTACAAAACTCCCCCAAGATTAGGGAACTGCATGGAAGAAACCATTCATGAATGACCTTTTTTTGGAAGGAGTGGGTGGATAAGAGGATGCAGAGAGGAATGCAGTAAAAAAAGCAGAAGTCCTGAAGTCTAGGAGTCTTGTCCCAGCTAATCCCCAATTAACCTAATGTCTCTGGCCTCAGCTTCCTCATTTGCAAAATAGGAGTGATAACAGTGTGCACCTTCTGGGGTCATTGTGAAACTGGATGAAATAATACATATAAAGCACTTAGAACACAGGCACAACTGTCGTGAGGATGATAATGGGGATGGTGGCTTTGGGAGAGACACATACACCAGTCTTTGTTTCCTCATTCACAAAAGGAGCAAGTTCCACAGGACCTCCTGGAATTCTGTTCAGCAACATTCCTTTAGCATCTTCCCTGTTGGGACCACATTGGACACTCAGAGAGGGTCAAGGCTGACCCCGGGCCCTTCAGAAGGAAAGGGGACAGGCACAGATGTAGATGACTCTAACAGAAGAAATAAGGTCCCAAAGAGCTGCTAAGTTACTGAGCATGTGCATTTAGGGCAGAGGGTCCTGGAATGGTCCATGGGGAGGCAGTGTTCGACCTGGACTTTGAAGGGCAGGTAGACAGAGATTGTGTCTTCTCTTGCTGAAAAGCACTTTGTCCTCAAGATAAAGGTGAAATCTTTCAGCTAAGCATACCGTTTCCCCATGATCTAGCCTCAGCTCCCTTCTGTTGCTTCTCCACTAGATGCCCCATGCACTGTGATATTTCCACTGCCTGAAAAACGTTTCATACATTCCCCTTGCCTCCCTCCCCTCTTTGCACATGCCAGTTCTTTTGACCTGGACCTCCCTCTTCCCTCTGCTAGGGCACAGCAGAGGGGACAAGCAAGGCACTAGGGTTAGACTGGGAGGGGTCACATCCTACTTCTGCTGCTAAGTGGCCAGTGGAGACCCTAACGTGTTACTCAATCCCATGGTGAGGCAATGTCCTTCCTCATCAGGAAAATGGGAATACAGGAAACAATAGTGCCTACTTCAAAGGGTGCTTGTGAGGATTAAATTAGGTAATACAAGCAAAGTGTGTGCTAGCCAGGCCCACAGTGCTCAGTGAATAAATATGAGCGGATGTGATGAACTCTTTAGGTCTGGCTCATTCCTCCTTGCATTTCAGGTCTTAGCTTAGTCACCTCTTCTGCGAGGCCTTTTCTGGTTCCTGAGGCTGATCCCGAAGCACAAGGTATCTCCTCTTCTACCATAGCCCAGGCATCTGTCATCCCCATCAGACTGCAAACTCTACGATGCCAGGAGCTAGTCCATTGTGCTGGCTGCTGGTAGAGACACAAGATAGGCACTCAGTAAATCCTAAATGTCTCGAGTGATCCAAGGGTGTGGCAGAGACTACTAGGGGCAGCCTGGGGTGCGGGTGGGCCATGAGGCTGAACTCCGAGGGCGACAGAGAGAGTCTGGATGTCCAGGATGTCCAGGGCTGCTTCCCGCCCTGGGACTGACTCTGGGAGCTCGCAGCGCCGCTGTCGAGGATGTCGCTCAACTTTGGCCGGGTTTGCGCCCTCGGGAGAAAATGCTGCCTGACGGGTCTGTCGAGCGGGC